GTTCCAAAATTTTATACACATTTTACACATTAAGTCATGACTTTGCACAAATGATTCAAATCAATCCCTCACAAGCAAAACTCATTCCACATAAGAAATAAAAGAGATGTATGCTCAGAGAATCATCTTTATAAGGCTTGAAAAAATTATTATGCACATCAATTATCTTGCTCGAGAACGAAGAATAATGACAAAAATGACATCAACAAGTAATTCATTACAAGTCCATATGTGTTTGTCCATTGCATGGAAAATATATCTTACAAATACTTAATCATAAAATCAAGTTAGCTAGTGGTATCAATGTCTGATAAGAAAAGTAACGCATTATCTAAGTCCCTATGAACAAACTTTTTCAAGCGTGAGCCTGAAACCCAATATCGCCCTTGTGCTTCATCCATCTCCTCAATCTCGTATGCTCCGTGTTCTGTTTTCTTAATGATATGATACGGTCCCATCCATCGATTATCTAATTTCCTCAACCACTGCTTTTCAAGAGAAGAGTCATAGAGGAGGACAATATCCCCTACTTCCAACGGTTCCTTCCTAACCCGGGGTTGCTTATCCCATCTAACTTTGTCCGTCCGTCTGCTATCCGCAGTTGACGCCGTGACTTTTACAATTTTTTTCTCAGTAGTTTTTATCTGTTTACTCTCAAGTCCGACAATTCTTCTGTAGAAAGCCTGACTTTCATATCCTGTTTTTGCCATGTAGTAAGGAAACTCTCGATCGGAAACGTAGCATGTCGTCCAAACCATAACGTAACAGGAGCCCAGTAGTCCGTTTTACGGTTATATTTTCAACAAATATGGCAGCTCTGAGATAGACTGGCCATGTTGATGGCTTGCCAGCACACCATTTAGCTAACAAATTGGTCAAGGTGGCATGCCCACGTTCGACCGGAGCATTAGCCTGGGGGTGCGCTCTAGTGGTATAACTATAGTTCACTCCCAGTCTCCTCAGCAGAGCCTGAACTTCTTCCGCCCGAAATTCACCGCCTCGATCCATCACAAATTCCCGAACAAATGGATATGCTAGGTAAAACTCTTCGATACACTCCGCCAAAATTTTTCCGGTTCGCTCAGCGGATTGCACGCCCATCAACAAACCCGGTAAGATTGTCTCTCGCATCAAATATGTACCTGTACCCATTAAGTCCGGGTGGCATAACGACCAGGTCGAGGTGCACAACCGCACCTGGCTCAACCACATATCGTGGATTAAGTGGCTCAGCATAGCGAAGATTCGAACGTTTATGACAGGGAACGCACGAGTTGCAAAACTCTGCCACCATCTTACCCATATCATCCMAAAAATAGAGATGTTGGATTTTTCTCAATGTCACTCGTGCAAATCGATGTTCMCCTGCCACTCCATCATGTWGAGCCGCAATCACATCCAATTGTCTGGGAACTCCGCACACCACTCTCTTAGGCATACCATCGTCAGACTTTTTGAAAAGATGCCCCTGTCAAATGAAAAAATTMTTTKCCTTCTCTCTTATTTCTGRCTCTATCTCTGCCTCGTTCAGGTCCCCATTCAACCAAAGCCCAATCTTCTTATAAATCCCATCATATTCCTCCTCACGAAAGGCTTCTTTGATCTYACTGCCTTCCCCTTCTTCYAACATTAGCTTACCGTGATCTTCCTGTATCAACGAATTAACAARAAACACCATTCCCCCAKAAATCTTGAGGACTTCGTCACCTTGCTCATGCCCCCCTTCCATCGTAAGAGGTTCTTYCGAAAGTTGTACTGGGTCAGACAACGCCWACCTCATCATCCGCTCAGCAGACCGTTCACCCCAAGGATCCTCCTCAAAAAGRKTTCCCTCATCACAAGCTCTGCACACTTTTGATAAGAACTCGGCGAACTYCAGATAGACTTYCCARGTMSGGACGACGCATTACTGATGTATTCCCAAACATTGATACTCAGTTGTTGCTCGTCCGTCTCCAGAAACCCATCCACAGGGACCGAGTTTTCTGCCTGATCTTTCGAGGAGTCCCACTCGATCCGAYTCAATCCGTCGGCTCGATTTTGTGTTYCCGCAATACGCTCSATCTCGAAATCGAACATCCAGATATAGATCAACCATCGAGCAATARTTGGATCCGAGGGAGAATAATTCTTCAATGACTGCGCCAGGGCGGTCGGATYAACCCGCAGGACGAACCGTCTTCCAAACACGTAGTTTCGGAAGATCCTGAAGCAATGAAGCACTGCAAGSGTTTCCTTCTKAAATTRGGAATACTTCCTTTCTGCCTCATTCAACGTTCGACTTTCAAATCTYAGTGGTCTTTCTCGCCCTTCTCCATCCTTCTGGATGAGGACTCCACCCAACGCTGTGGGGCCTGCATCCGTTTCAASCACGAAGGGTCGGTTCGGGTCRTTGTCAAAGCACGGAACCCCCARGATCAATCCTCCTTCTCGGAATTGTGCCTTGATGTCGTCAACAGCCGCCTGCTGCTTTGGACCCCATTCCCATTCCTGATTTTTACGCACCAACTTCCGTAGGKGCTCCACCCTTGCAGCGAACTTGCGAATGAAGATACGCCAGAATCCGCAASTCCCCAAGAAACTGCGSACATCCGTGATRGACTTAAGCGGAGTCGGTCATTCCAGAATCTTGTTTGTTTTCTTGGAATCTGGCCGACGRCCCTTCTCATCGCACAAGAAGCCCAAGATAGTCGCCTCACGCATACAATGYCGAGATTTGACACCGYTGGCGGTGASGTTGTACTCCTTTAACTTGGACAGGACCTTCTCCACGTCASRAACGTGCTCCCAAACAAACTTTCGGACGCCTGGCAGCACCTCCGTTTCGTCCTTGACACGTGGCCCAGGAATGGGCAAGTCATCGATATACGGTGAGGTCACGTCCGRACRAAGCGGCTGCATGACCCTCATCATATATCTCTGAAYAATCGYCACGGCGTTYGTCCATCCCTGAGGCGYCGCAYACATATRAATCAATCCCCTCGGCGTATGCATGRCCGTCATCGGCCTGTCTGCCGTATAGAGAGGKAATTGATCATATCCCGAGTACAAATCAATGAGAGTGATGATAGGYCTGCCTGCGCACKACTCAGAYAGYTGATCRGCATGCGAAAGTCCTYCGGCATCACGAAKCGTCACTGARTTCAGCCTCTGTAGATTCTGCACCCATCGCAATACGCCACTTGGCTTGATGAAACAAAACCAAGGGGACGCATATGGTCCATACGAGTAATCCGCGACCTTTGTCCGAATTTTACCGTCCAAATATTCAACGACTCTACGGTGATCATCCGGGTTCGGATAARGTGGGCCTCGTATGTTCCACGGCTYGTGAGRTACCGTATGAATCCTGATCATTKGAATCAGGTCAACRTCAAGCSTCCCTCGCTCATCATCATCGAAGGYATAAGCCAGATGGGTTTTCTTCAKGACGCTGACAAGGAAGTCCACCTCCTTCTCAGTAAGAGACCCTTCCTCTCCAATGATCATATTCTTAATCCTCTCCTCCGTCAATCGACATGGCGCCTTCATACTATTTTCCTTCCTCATCCTGATCCATTCTCTTTCTTCTTTAGAATACACTTCTTCCTCTTGTATGATCAAGACGGGCACTGACCGAGCTTTCTCGCCTACTCTCTTGTACTTACGTTTCGCTCCAACTCCAAGTCGTCCACCTCTAAAAAAGGCCCTGGCTTGGCTGCTAGCTCTGTCAATACATCACCTTCCGAAGGCCTGTCGGGTCGATAAGTAAGATACATTCTACCTGTCCCGCCTTCTCCTGCCACAATCTCTGTCAGCGTTTGGACCAACTTGGGGTCCACGGACGAGTCTGTCACAACGAACTCGATCGCTTGAGAGATGTTGGGCAGAGCAACAGAGAATTCTTGGGGATCGCTCTCTTCTCCGAGGGATTCCTTCTCCCTCATGAGCCTTTAAGACTCCGTGAAGGAATAGGACCCCGGATTGAGTCGGTTCCTTGAATTGGTTGGTCCCGTGTTCTCACACTTCATCACCTCGTAATAGCCACATACGAGGTCACACAAAACCACGATCATAGTACCATCATGCTTGTTAAAGATGATGGATTCCGATCGACATAGGAAAGCTCTGCCCAGCAACACGGCATGCTCAACCCTGGGTAGCACATAGAAGTACGAATGGACTTTGACTCTACCAACTTATATCGTCAAGTCACTCACCGTTCCGCAAAAGGGAGTTATCCCACTTGCACGTACCAGAAATCCAGTATCTCCTCGATTGATGTTTACTTCTGCCCCCATGGCTTCTCTTTCACGTATGATGTTCATTTCAGCCCCATCGTCGATGAGAGCCGAGTATTCGCACGGCCCAACTTGCACCTTCAACAACCCAGTCGCTACACAGTGCCATTCCACTTTTGTCCCATGCGGAGCCCAACTAATCTCTTGAGAAAAGATGTCCCTCATCTTAACCGTCATAACCTTTTTCCTAGACAGTCGGTGTCTGAACTCCTCTCAGATTTTCGGCGATGAGGCCAAGAATTCTTTGAGCGTGAACAAATCGCGTTGGCTCTCCAGAATCCGGTCCACAATTTGCTCGATATCCAGCCCTTGCTCAACCGGGATCGTGTAAACTTGCTTCCTCTTTTTCAACTCTCCTTCCCGAACATCGGCCTTGCCCGTTTCTGGCTCCCTCTCCATGGCCGGTTGTTTGGCCTGCCGCTCATCCTCGGCTCACAACAACTCGTCCTCCTCGCCATCGTCTTCTTCAATCGGAATAGTCTCGGTTTTCCGAGGCTGACTTGGCCCTTCTTCTGGTGTTGCCCTTGGCCACGGTGGCCTTCAAGCCCTCCGAGCCTGCGGGAGGCCAGGAGTGGCAGGTCGCTTGAAAGCAGGACGGGACAAGACCGTGGTGGCCATCAAATGCCCTGCCGACGGCGATTTAGGTTGTGGTGCGCTTACATCATTAAGACCTCCTTGGCCGTCTTTGTCCCATCCTCAAAACAGAAAAACTTGGGGAAGCCCGGACCATTCTTCATTCATGTCGGCGCAAATTTGAACAAAAGCTTCCCGACATCGGTTCATCTTCTTGACCACCAACTGGGATCGATGCAGTATCTCTTCCCGTTCCTCGCTCAAACCTTCATCCCCGGTCTTGGCATCTTCAATCGTCAATGATTCCATCGCCGCTTCCAACTCAATCTGTTCGACTTCTTCCGAGGAAGCYAGTCGGAAAGTTGCCGGAAGATCTCGCCCTATACGTCGAAAAACCTCCTTTCTCATTCCTCCCTCCACATTGGGATCGATGAGGTTCCCTTCGAAGTCGTAGACCTCACCTCGGATATTCGTATATATAACCTTATCGTTTTCATCTTTGGTAACGGTCTGCSAAGACCGTATCCCATGYCCATCTAGGCCACAATACTTGCAAAACCAATTCTGCCAATTGYCTCGGCCGCCCCCATTTCCTCGGCCTCCCCCAATGCCTTGTCCTCTACCTCGACCTCGGCCTCGGCCTCCTGCCTGAGGTTGGGGTTGCTGAGGAGGGGTCTGCGCCGCCTGTTCCTGGTTGCTTCCTTGTCCACCTCCTCCATTATTGTTTMGTTGCTTTTTGCTAGTGCCTTGCCCTCCTCGTATTTGATTCAGGGCCTTCCGTTCTGCCTTGGTCAATTTTCGAGCGGGCTCCACTTCCTCCTCATCTTCCNCCACATGTCTGCCTGTCTGCCGCTCCCCCGTGGATGGCTGCCCATCTACGGCTTAGGGGTCACCCAACGGGTAGGCCGCGACATCGACTTGCCGGCCCCCTCTGGCTCGAAGTCAACCCCCACGTCCCAGGAAAAAATAAAACTCCCTTTTTCCCCTGCGCCACGGCCCTATTCTAAGTAGACTAGGTCTAGCTTTAGTCTTTCCATTTCCGGGCACCACCGCGGCCTTGCCGAAAACCACGGACGACAGTACGGACTCCCGTAACCCGCACGGACGTCGATGTCATCCTGTGTCGACGACGTCAGGTTCAGAAAAAGCTTAAGCCTCTCAGTCATAAGGCTGGTCTGAATAAACTTTGGCAACGTCAATTTCATCAAGTCGTCCAATTTAGTGGAAAGGTCAGACAGCGTCCGACGTTGAAAAACACGGGCAGATACCCTTGTCAGGGTTTCTGCCCCGACAGCATTCCCGGACCCCATTAAACGAGTTCCACATCGTTCACGTGGTCGGTGCTCTTAGTATAAAATTTTACGGATAACTCTTTTAGTATCTTTTAATCTTAATAATACCACAAATACTTTAACGAGCAGATATCCGAAAAACGGACTTCTTACTATTAAACGAGTTATGCCCTCGAAGCCAAAATTCACAATCATTCTGCACTCATCGGATTGGTACCAGATTCAGCCCCTGGAAGCCCAAAATTCGAAACTTAGGCCCAGATTCAGCCCCTAGAAGCCCAAAATTCAAAGGACCTTATTCTAATGGTTCTGGCTAACAAAATTCATTCGGTTGAAAAACATTATTTTAATCATCTGGGCAACCAACCATCACCGCCGGGAATTTAACCCAGGTCTCTCATGTCCATGGGGATGCATCCACAACACCTCAACACACTCACGTGTCGCCAGGAGTTTAACCTGGACCTCCCACGTAACACAAGGATACTCGTACTATACTACAGTTACGGTTGTCGGGGACGATAATAACAAGGCTCCGACTTTCCACCATCCCTTCTGGAAGTCCCGTATTAACCTTCAGCTAGTTCCCAGAATGAGCCAGGAATAACCTCTGTCAGGCCTCCATAACCCAACCTATGATAATCGTTTAGACATGATTTGAACTACCCATCCAATACAAGAACCTTTTATTTAAGTCCTTTACCTGAGTTCCATAACCCATCCGATTGTGCAACTTTATAAATACCTAGGATTATTATGTTTAATATCCCCGAATTCCATGTGGCTGCGTCGAGGAGTGCTGTAATCCTCCACAAAGGATAACATCCCGAAATCAAGCCCTGCTTTAGATTCGAGCCTCACCACATTCCCTCCGATTCCAATATCGCAACTCTGTTAATGCCACGCCTACAGGGCGAGACAACCCCATCCATATAATCCAAGTTGGTCAGACGAGGATCATAAGGACGCGGCGACCATGCATATCACAAGGATAGACGACCAACCCCACCCCTGTGATAAGCAGCGATCGCTCCCCGCCATAGGCGAGGTCTCAACAAGATTACGACACCATCCTCCTTTTCGGTGATAGTGTAGCCATCGCCCTCTTTCCAAGGAAAATGACATCATCTCGTTGTGGACCAGGAACCAAGTTCCGGCACGAGCCTCACTATCACCTACAAGGCTCACATCTTTTAGGAATATCAAGACACMATAAAGACTAGGTATTACATATAAACTTACTATATTCATTAGACCATGTGCCTATAGAACGAATACTTATCGTTCATGAAGTCAYATGTTCCAARATTTTATACACATTTTACACATTAAGTCATGACTTTGCACAAATGATTCAAATCARTCCCTCACAAGCAAAACTCATTCCACATAAGAAATAAAAGAGATSTAYGCTCAGAGAATCATCTTTATAAGGCTTGAAAAAATTATTATGCACATCAATTATCTTGCTCGAGAACGAAGAATAATGACAAAAATGACATCAACAAGTAATTCATTACAAGTCCATATGTGTTTGTCCATTGCATGAAAAATATATCTTACAAATACTTTATCATAAAATCAAGTTAGCTAGTGGTATCAATGTCTGATAAGAAAAGTAAGGCATTATCTAAGTCCCTATGAACAAACTTCTTCAAGCGTGAGCCTGAAACCCAATCTCGCCCACGTGCTCCATCCATCTCCTCAATCTCGTATGCTCCGTGCTCTGTTTTCTTAATAATACGATACGGTCCCATCCATCGATTATCTAATTTCCTCGACCACTGCTTTTCAAGAGAAGAGTCATAGAGGAGGACAATATCCCCCACTTCCAACGGTTCCTTCCTAACCCGGGGTTGCTTATCCCATCTAACTTTGTCCACCCGTCTGTTGTCCGCAGTTGACGCCGTGGCCTTTACAACTCTTTCCTCAGTAACTTTTATCTGTCTGGCTCTCAGGTCCAACAATTCTTCTGTAGAAAGTCCGACTTTCATATCCTGTTTTTGCCATGTAGTCAGGAAACTCTCGATCGGAAACGTAGCATGTCGTCTAAACCATAACGTAACAGGAGCATACCCAGTAGTCCGTTTTACGGTTATATTTTCAACAAATATGGCAGCACTGAGATAGACGGGCCATGTTGATGGCTTGCCAGCACACCATTTAGCTAACAAATTGGTCAAGGTGGCATGCCCACGTTCGACCGGAGCATTAGCCTGGGGGTGCGCTCTAGTGGTATAACTATAGTTCACTCCCAGTCTCCTCAGCAGAGCCTGAACTTCTTCCGCCCGAAATTCACCGCCTCGATCCATCACAAATTCCCGAACAAATGGATATGCTAGGTAAAACTCTTCGATACACTCCGCCAAAATTTTTCCGGTTCGCTCAGCGGATTGCACGCCCATCAACAAACCCGGTAAGATTGTCTCTCGCATCAAATATGTACCTGTACCCATTAAGTCCGGGTGGCATAACGACCAGGTCGAGGTGCACAACCGCACCTGGCTCAACCACATATCGTGGATTAAGTGGCTCAGCATAGCGAAGATTCGAACGTTTATGACAGGGAACGCACGAGTTGCAAAACTCTGCCACCATCTTACCCATATCATCCMAAAAATAGAGATGTTGGATTTTTCTCAATGTCACTCGTGCAAATCGATGTTCACCTGCCACTCCATCATGTWGAGCCGCAATCACATCCAATTGTCTGGGAACTCCGCACACCACTCTCTTAGGCATACCATCGTCAGACTTTTTGAAAAGATGCCCCTGTCAAATGAAAAAATTMTTTKCCTTCTCTCTTATTTCTGRCTCTATCTCTGCCTCGTTCAGGTCCCCATTCAACCAAAGCCCAATCTTCTTATAAATCCCATCATATTCCTCCTCACGAAAGGCTTCTTTGATCTYACTGCCTTCCCCTTCTTCYAACATTAGCTTACCGTGATCTTCCTGTATCAACGAATTAACAARAAACACCATTCCCCCAKAAATCTTGAGGACTTCGTCACCTTGCTCATGCCCCCCTTCCATCGTAAGAGGTTCTTYCGAAAGTTGTACTGGGTCAGACAACGCCWACCTCATCATCCGCTCAGCAGACCGTTCACCCCAAGGATCCTCCTCAAAAAGRKTTCCCTCATCACAAGCTCTGCACACTTTTGATAAGAACTCGGCGAACTYCAGATAGACTTYCCARGTMSGGACGACGCATTACTGATGTATTCCCAAACATTGATACTCAGTTGTTGCTCGTCCGTCTCCAGAAACCCATCCACAGGGACCGAGTTTTCTGCCTGATCTTTCGAGGAGTCCCACTCGATCCGAYTCAATCCGTCGGCTCGATTTTGTGTTYCCGCAATACGCTCSATCTCGAAATCGAACATCCAGATATAGATCAACCATCGAGCAATARTTGGATCCGAGGGAGAATAATTCTTCAATGACTGCGCCAGGGCGGTCGGATYAACCCGCAGGACGAACCGTCTTCCAAACACGTAGTTTCGGAAGATCCTGAAGCAATGAAGCACTGCAAGGGTTTCCTTCTTAAATTRGGAATACTTCCTTTCTGCCTCATTCAACGTTCGACTTTCAAATCTYAGTGGTCTTTCTCGCCCTTCTCCATCCTTCTGGATGAGGACTCCACCCAACGCTGTGGGGCCTGCATCCGTTTCAASCACGAAGGGTCGGTTCGGGTCRTTGTCAAAGCACGGAACCCCCARGATCAATCCTCCTTCTCGGAATTGTGCCTTGATGTCGTCAACAGCCGCCTGCTGCTTTGGACCCCATTCCCATTCCTGATTTTTACGCACCAACTTCCGTAGGKGCTCCACCCTTGCAGCGAACTTGCGAATGAAGATACGCCAGAATCCGCAASTCCCCAAGAAACTGCGSACATCCGTGATRGACTTAAGCGGAGTCGGTCATTCCAGAATCTTGTTTGTTTTCTTGGAATCTGGCCGACGRCCCTTCTCATCGCACAAGAAGCCCAAGATAGTCGCCTCACGCATACAATGYCGAGATTTGACACCGYTGGCGGTGASGTTGTACTCCTTTAACTTGGACAGGACCTTCTCCACGTCASRAACGTGCTCCCAAACAAACTTTCGGACGCCTGGCAGCACCTCCGTTTCGTCCTTGACACGTGGCCCAGGAATGGGCAAGTCATCGATATACGGTGAGGTCACGTCCGRACRAAGCGGCTGCATGACCCTCATCATATATCTCTGAAYAATCGYCACGGCGTTYGTCCATCCCTGAGGCGYCGCAYACATATRAATCAATCCCCTCGGCGTATGCATGRCCGTCATCGGCCTGTCTGCCGTATAGAGAGGKAATTGATCATATCCCGAGTACAAATCAATGAGAGTGATGATAGGYCTGCCTGCGCACKACTCAGAYAGYTGATCRGCATGCGAAAGTCCTYCGGCATCACGAAKCGTCACTGARTTCAGCCTCTGTAGATTCTGCACCCATCGCAATACGCCACTTGGCTTGATGAAACAAAACCAAGGGGACGCATATGGTCCATACGAGTAATCCGCGACCTTTGTCCGAATTTTACCGTCCAAATATTCAACGACTCTACGGTGATCATCCGGGTTCGGATAARGTGGGCCTCGTATGTTCCACGGCTYGTGAGRTACCGTATGAATCCTGATCATTKGAATCAGGTCAACRTCAAGCSTCCCTCGCTCATCATCATCGAAGGYATAAGCCAGATGGGTTTTCTTCAKGACGCTGACAAGGAAGTCCACCTCCTTCTCAGTAAGAGACCCTTCCTCTCCAATGATCATATTCTTAATCCTCTCCTCCGTCAATCGACATGGCGCCTTCATACTATTTTCCTTCCTCATCCTGATCCATTCTCTTTCTTCTTTAGAATACACTTCTTCCTCTTGTATGATCAAGACGGGCACTGACCGAGCTTTCTCGCCTACTCTCTTGTACTTACGTTTCGCTCCAACTCCAAGTCGTCCACCTCTAAAAAAGGCCCTGGCTTGGCTGCTAGCTCTGTCAATACATCACCTTCCGAAGGCCTGTCGGGTCGATAAGTAAGATACATTCTACCTGTCCCGCCTTCTCCTGCCACAATCTCTGTCAGCGTTTGGACCAACTTGGGGTCCACGGACGAGTCTGTCACAACGAACTCGATCGCTTGAGAGATGTTGGGCAGAGCAACAGAGAATTCTTGGGGATCGCTCTCTTCTCCGAGGGATTCCTTCTCCCTCATGAGCCTTTAAGACTCCGTGAAGGAATAGGACCCCGGATTGAGTCGGTTCCTTGAATTGGTTGGTCCCGTGTTCTCACACTTCATCACCTCGTAATAGCCACATACGAGGTCACACAAAACCACGATCATAGTACCATCATGCTTGTTAAAGATGATGGATTCCGATCGACATAGGAAAGCTCTGCCCAGCAACACGGCATGCTCAACCCTGGGTAGCACATAGAAGTACGAATGGACTTTGACTCTACCAACTTATATCGTCAAGTCACTCACCGTTCCGCAAAAGGGAGTTATCCCACTTGCACGTACCAGAAATCCAGTATCTCCTCGATTGATGTTTACTTCTGCCCCCATGGCTTCTCTTTCACGTATGATGTTCATTTCAGCCCCATCGTCGATGAGAGCCGAGTATTCGCACGGCCCAACTTGCACCTTCAACAACCCAGTCGCTACACAGTGCCATTCCACTTTTGTCCCATGCGGAGCCCAACTAATCTCTTGAGAAAAGATGTCCCTCATCTTAACCGTCATAACCTTTTTCCTAGACAGTCGGTGTCTGAACTCCTCTCAGATTTTCGGCGATGAGGCCAAGAATTCTTTGAGCGTGAACAAATCGCGTTGGCTCTCCAGAATCCGGTCCACAATTTGCTCGATATCCAGCCCTTGCTCAACCGGGATCGTGTAAACTTGCTTCCTCTTTTTCAACTCTCCTTCCCGAACATCGGCCTTGCCCGTTTCTGGCTCCCTCTCCATGGCCGGTTGTTTGGCCTGCCGCTCATCCTCGGCTCACAACAACTCGTCCTCCTCGCCATCGTCTTCTTCAATCGGAATAGTCTCGGTTTTCCGAGGCTGACTTGGCCCTTCTTCTGGTGTTGCCCTTGGCCACGGTGGCCTTCAAGCCCTCCGAGCCTGCGGGAGGCCAGGAGTGGCAGGTCGCTTGAAAGCAGGACGGGACAAGACCGTGGTGGCCATCAAATGCCCTGCCGACGGCGATTTAGGTTGTGGTGCGCTTACATCATTAAGACCTCCTTGGCCGTCTTTGTCCCATCCTCAAAACAGAAAAACTTGGGGAAGCCCGGACCATTCTTCATTCATGTCGGCGCAAATTTGAACAAAAGCTTCCCGACATCGGTTCATCTTCTTGACCACCAACTGGGATCGATGCAGTATCTCTTCCCGTTCCTCGCTCAAACCTTCATCCCCGGTCTTGGCATCTTCAATCGTCAATGATTCCATCGCCGCTTCCAACTCAATCTGTTCGACTTCTTCCGAGGAAGCYAGTCGGAAAGTTGCCGGAAGATCTCGCCCTATACGTCGAAAAACCTCCTTTCTCATTCCTCCCTCCACATTGGGATCGATGAGGTTCCCTTCGAAGTCGTAGACCTCACCTCGGATATTCGTATATATAACCTTATCGTTTTCATCTTTGGTAACGGTCTGCSAAGACCGTATCCCATGYCCATCTAGGCCACAATACTTGCAAAACCAATTCTGCCAATTGYCTCGGCCGCCCCCATTTCCTCGGCCTCCCCCAATGCCTTGTCCTCTACCTCGACCTCGGCCTCGGCCTCCTGCCTGAGGTTGGGGTTGCTGAGGAGGGGTCTGCGCCGCCTGTTCCTGGTTGCTTCCTTGTCCACCTCCTCCATTATTGTTTCGTTGCTTTTTGCTAGTGCCTTGCCCTCCTCGTATTTGATTCAGGGCCTTCCGTTCTGCCTTGGTCAATTTTCGAGCGGGCTCCACTTCCTCCTCATCTTCCTCTTCGTTGCTGCTACTACTCACTTCCTCCACGACGGGAGCTTTTCCCTTCCTTTTTCCACCCTTTGTTTGGACCATCATCATTTGCAACTTTAACCTTTCCTCCTTCATGTCAGCCATCATGTTCCGCATATCAGTCAGGGTTTTGTAAATGGCCTGATCCTTGTCCGTGCTTACCCCTTCCTTCTCGCGGTCCTCCTTTTGCTGCTTCAGGAGACGGTAAAGTATCTGGTCGAAGCTTCCAGCCAGCAGATTCTCCTTGATCTTTGGCCAGTCGTATCGCCCAGTCATATCCTTCATCAGTTCCCGCTGCTCATTTTCGGAAAAGTTTTCGAGGAAGATAAGGCACCGATTCTTATCTGGAAGATCAGGCACCAGGCGCGCAACTCGTTCGAACTCCGTGAGAAACTGCTTGGCCGTACCAAATTTTCGACGACTGACTTTCCGTAAGTCCGCAAGATCGAGCAGTTGATCCCCCAATTGGTACTTGTCCGATAATTTGGCTTTGAAGTCGGGTCAGTCACGCGAGGCTAGCACCAACTCCGACACCTCCTCTTTGTACTCGACCATACAATATCGCTTCACCATTTGAAGCATCTTTTCACTCGTTCATTCACAACAACTGCCCAATTGCTCAAACTTGTCCGCCCATGCTGAGGCATTGGTGCCATCGAAGAGGGGAACTTGAACCTTTGGCAGTTGCGCCTTCTGATTATCGGCCTCACGAATGGCTCGTGCAAGTTCCAGGATGTCATTGCGACGATCCCCTGCATTACTATTTGCGGGATCAACACTTCCTCCTGTCATCTTGGGTGAATCAACACAACAAAAACCCACATGTTCAAGTGTCAAACGGACTCAATAACTTTGCCTTCCTTTCCTTCTCCAAACATTAACAACCACTGACTACTTTCAATCCAAACAAACAACACACAACACTTAAAATCACTATAACCATCCTTTTCCCGAGTGTCGTTCCACCTGGGACAACGGTAATTCGCCGTCATCCCCGGCAACGACGTCACCTGTCGAGCGCATCGGCCCCCGCGTGAGCGAGGGCCTTCCCGGCTATGTCACACATGAGTTATAACAAAACAAAATTAAGAGACAACTTAGGACGACGCATAAATAATCCCGCGAACCGCCGAGACGGACGCGATTGCATTGTCCCTTCGCCGCTCTAGCCGGGTGCGTCAGCTGTACATCCCACGGTCCCCTACAACAGGATAGGTTCTTGCGGGGCGCATCTTACCTTCCCTAAGGGGCTGTCACCACCCTTAGGGGCGTATCCCCGCCGAGCTATCAACCCACGTGCGAAAACTTTTACATGCAATTGCAGAGGTAGGTCAACCGAGGGCGTTTGCTCGCTCGCTGGAGTATAGGTACGCTTGGCTAACGCCAAGTAGACCCGAACGTTGTTCGTTCCCGAGGGCACTGATCTCCTCGGTACGAACGAGCGTCGGTCGACTAGGACGGCCTCGACCATACGCGAAATCCAACATATAATCCTAGCCCCTTTATAATCCCCTACTCATAAAATGAACGAAACCAATACATAACCAACATTTGGACTTGATGAGATGATATGCCAAGGTTATCATTTCCTGCCTACCTGACTGAAGAGACAATTATACCGTCATCCGAGGACGGAAGATCCGTCGCGCACAACCTCTACAAGTAAATACATGCAGATCAACAAATGATCTGCTTCCTGGTCGATATTTAAACTCCCGGTCCGACCGCACCGTCGTACCGCACGCATCTCCTTGGAGGAGCGAATGACAATTTTGTTTGTCGCTTTGTCCTCCTAGGCAATAATTACTCTCTCTGTTCCATGAATGACGAAGTAGCCATTGCCAATACCAGGTTACTTTGCGTGGGACTGTTTCGTCTTCTGTTACCCCGTCCTCGTTGTTCCGCTCGACACCTCTTCAAGTGTTCGGCCTTCGCTTTGTTCAGCGTATTTTTAAGTGGT